GGTGAAAGAGGGCTATCAAGGGCACACTCAAAATGTAACATGTACCCTGCAGTTTGGGGCACAACTCAGAGTCCTGCTTGAGAAATCTAAAAAACAAGAGAATGATTTGGTCAAGAGAAAAAGGAGATGGTTTGACAAAAAAGAGATGCTATGTTGGGAGTCTGCACAACCAAATTTGCTAGGGCAAAGAGTGTATGAATGTTTCCTGTGGCCGCATGTAGGCCACTTGTGAGAAAACTAGTCTGGGGTCATCTAGGATCCTGTCCTCACAGGTGTCTCTGAGTGGGCAACTGGATCTCAACAGAAAGAATTTAAGGCAAAGCTGGAGTTTTAGGAGTTATAAAGGAATTATTACCAGTGAGAATGGAGAAGTTTGCCTTTGTTAGAAGAACTGTAGATAAGAGATTCCTGAAACATAATGAAGGGGAGGAGGCTGTGAAGAACTCATTCAAGTGACCAGAGATTGGGTCGCTTTACCCGCTGCTGAATGAAAGTGCAGGTGTCAGATGGTCCCATCAGAACCAGTTAGTAGGAACTATGCTACTCCCCTACTTCTCCCTCCTGGCTAGCCCTGGAGCAGTAAAGGTCAACCTACGTTATAAGACAATGAAAAGGAACCTAAATACTGAGTGGAGAAAAGGAAAAGCTGTCTTAACTTTTTTTAACTACCGGTTTCCCACCAACAGAAGCCATCAGGATGAAGGAGGACACTTCAATATAAAACAAGATTAAGTTTTAACTGTTACATGAGCTTGGACATTTTACAACATTCAATGCAAACTGCTTTGAAATTTGAAATGCTTGGAGAACTGCTTATTACTACTTATAACCAAATAAATCTTGAAGCCAGCCCAATATACATCTAGGAAAGAGGAAGAACAATGTCAAGGATTGGATTTAAATGGGAGATAAAAATAAATTACTTGCTGGTTCCAAATGGCAGCATGAAGCAAGTTGTCTTCTGACCCCTTGACAAAAAAAACAGAAAAAAACAAATTACAGCACAGTCTTTCATCAGCACAATCAGAGCTCAGTGTGAGGATGAGCCAGTTCCTGGGGAAGTGGAGAAACTCTGTGGAGAAACTCTGAGCAGACAGTAGAAGATCCAGATTCCATATCTGTGAAGCACCCTCACCTTTCTGCCAGGCAACAACCATGTGGAAAAACTCCCCTCAACTCTTGAGATGGTCAACCAGTTTTGCCACCTTCTCAGGTTGCCTGGCAGGAAACCTGTCCTTCCTTTAACCCATGGGTAGCATCATGACTGCCTGAAGGCAGAAATATCTCTGGGGACAGGCAGAGACAAGCAAAGGAGATGGGACTACCAGACCCATACTGTAAACTCTACTCTGTATCTCAGCCAAAGGAGATGTTCCAAATAAGAGTGACTATAGGAGGTATTTTCCCTTGAACCCTATAGCAGCTGTCCCAACTGTGGATTATCCCTTTGGGACCTCCTCCATTTGGGATAAGCAGTGCTCTGATCATTTGCTAGAGCCAAGGCAAATCTGCATTTAGGTACCACCTAGAGCTAAAAAGGAGGTAGCAACCTAGCACTGAAGATTTGCTAAATAAATATATTCAAGGGAAACCCAAACAAGCTGGACAGGGAAAACTGGCATAAATAACTAATCCTCCAAGGCAGAGACATAGATTTATATCCACAAGAAACAACAGCAAACAGGAAGCCATGACATCCCCAAAAGGACAAAGCAAAACTTCAATGACTTACTCTGATAAAATGGTGATTTGTGAGCTCTTGGACCAAGAATTTGAAACAGCAGTTTTAAGGAAATTCAGTGATCCCCAAGATAACACAGAAAAGCAATTCAAAAATTTAACAGAAAAATTAAAATAACAGAAAAAGAAATTTTGAAACTAAGGAATATATTTGATGAAATGAAAAACTCTAGAGATTTTCAACGGCAGAATGAATCAAGCAGAGGAAAGAATTAGCTCAAAGATTGGCTATTTGAAAGTACACAGCCAGAGAAGAAAACAAAAAAGAATGAAAAGAAATGAAGACCACCTACAAGATCTAGATAGTTACCTCAAAAGACTGTATCTAGGAATAATTGATGTTCAAGAGGGAACTGAGCAAGAGCAAGGAGCAGAAAAATTATTTAAAGAAATAATAACAGAAAACTTTCCAAAACTTGAGAAAGATATAGATACTTGTGTATAGGAAGATCTTAGATCACCAAACAGATTGAACCCAAATAAGACTACCCCAAGGCATTTAATAATCAAACTCTCAAAGGTCAAAGACAAAGAGAAGGTCCTAAAAGCAGTGAGAGATAAGAAGCAAAATACATATAAAGGTGCTCCAATTCAACTGGCAACAGACTTCTCCACGGAAACTCTACAGGCCAAGACTGAGTGGAACAACATTTTCAAAGTGCACAAAGAAAAGAACTGCAACCCAAGACTATTTGTCAGGCAAATTTGAAGGAGAACTAAAGACTTCCACAGACACACAAATCTGAGCAAATGTATCACCACTAGACCATCTTCCAAGAAATATTATCCTAAAGGAAACTCTTCCATCTGAAAGAAGAAAATACTAATATGCAAAAGAAAAATTTTCAAGATATAAAATCCACTGGTAAAATTAAGTACATGGACAAATCCAGAATACTGTACTACTATATTTTTGATGTGCAATCCACCCATAACTTTGGCATGAAGCCTAAAAGATAAATCTTTGAGAAAGAATAACAGCTACAACAACCTGTTAAGAGAAGGGTATTAATAATTTAAAAATATGTACATTGATACAAGTAAGAGTAAAAATGGGGGGAGATGGACTTAAAGTATAGAATTTTTTGTGTTTTTTGTTTTTGTTTATTTCTATTCTTTTATTTGTGTTCTAAGACAGGTTGTCATGTCTTAAAAATAACTTGCTGTATCTATAAAATGCTTTTGTAAGCCTTATGGTAATAAAAAACCTATAATAGAGTCACTAAAAATAAAAAGCAACAAATTAAAACATACTACCAGAGATATTCACTTAACTGCAAAGGAAGAAAGGAAGAGAGGAGTCTGAAAACAACCAGAAAACAAGCAATATAATGGTAGGAGTAAACCCATACTTATGAATAATAACAATGAATGTAAATGGTCTCAATTCTCCAGTTAAAAGGCATAGAGTGGATGAATAGATAAAGAAACAAGACCCAACTATAAGCTGGCTTCAAGAAACCCACTTCAATTATAAAGACACACATAGACTGAAAGTTAAGAGGTGGAAAACGATATTATTAATATATGCAACTGGAAACCACAGAAGAACAGAAATAGCTATACTCTTATTAGATAAAATAGACTATAAATCAAAGACTATTTAAAAAAAGACAAGGAGGGTCATTATATAATGATAAAGGAGTAAATTCAGCAAGGGATATAACATTAACTGTGTACCCCAAACTGAAGCTCTGAAATATATAAAGCAAACATAATAGACCTAAAGGGAGAGATAAACTGTAATACAATCAGAATAGTAGACTTTATCACCCATGCTCAGTTATGGATAGAAGATCCAGACAGAAAATTAACAAAGAAACAGCAGAGTTAAACTAATTATTAGATCTAATAGGCCTAACTGACATCTACAGAGCATTTTACCCAACTGCTACAGAATACACATACTTTTCATCAGCACATGGAACATTTTCCAGTATACACCATATCTCAGGCCACAAAACAAGTCTGTACAAATTTTAAAAAATAGAAATCATATCATATATCTTCTCTGTCCACAATGGAGTAAAACTAGAAATCAATAACAAGAAGAACCTCACAAAATACATAAACATATGGAAATTAAACAACACGAAGGGTCAATGAAGAAAATAAGAAGGGAATTTTTTAAATTCTTGAAACAAATGAAAATAAAAATACAACACACCAAAATCTGTGGGAGACATAAAAAGCAGTACAAACAGGGAAGTCTATAGCAATAAATGCCTATACCAAAAAAGTAGAAAGACTGCAAATTAACAACCTAATGATACACCTCAAGGAACTAGAAAAGCAAGAACAAACCAAACTCAAAATTGGTGGAAGGAACGAAATAATAGAGCTCAGAGCATAAATAAGTAAATTTGAGATAAAAATACAGAAGATCCACAAAACAAAAGTTGTTTTTTAAAAAAGTTAAACAAGATCAACAAACCTTTAGCTATACTAAGAAAAAGAGAGAGAAGCCCAAATAAAATCTGAAATGGAAAAGGAGACATAACAACTGATACCACAGAAATACAAAGAATTATTAGAGACTATTTTGAAAAAATATATCCCAAAAAATTAGAAAACCTAGAAGCAATGATAAATTCCTGGACACATACAACCTACCAATACTAAACCATAAAGAAATAGAAAACCTCAACAAACCAAAGAATAATGACATTGAAAGTGTAATAAAAAGTCTACCATCAAAGAAAAGCCCAGAACCTGCTACTTTTACTGCTGAATTCTACCAAACATTTCAAGAAGAACTAATACCAATCCTATTTGAACACTTCAAAAAAAAAAAAAAAAAAAAAAAATATTTTCAAAGTTCTTCTACAAGGCCAGCATTACCCTGATACCAAAACCAAATAAGGACACAACAAAAAAAGAAAATGATAGGCCAATATCCACAATAAATATAGATGCAAATATCCTCAACAAAATACTAGCAAACCGAACGCAACAATATATTAAAAAGATAATCACTATAATCAAGTGGGATTCATTCCAATGATGCAAGGATGGTTCAACATATACAAATAAATAAATGTAACATATCACATTAACAGAATCAAGAACAAAAATCATAAGATTATTTCAATAAATGTGAAAAAATCATTTGATAAAATTCAACATTCCTTTATGATAAAATCTTCATAAAAATGGGTATAGAAGAAACATGCCTCAAAATAATAAAGGCCATCTCTGACACACCCATGGTTAAACATTTCCATACACATGGATTGGAAGATTAATATTAAATTAATTAATATTAAATTAATGATAGATTAATATTAAATAATATTAACAAACATTAATATTATAATTAAATATAATTAAATTATATAAATTAAAGATTATGATTAAATTATATAAATTAAAGATTATAATTAAATATAATTCTAATTAAATAATATTAATAATATTAAATAATAATAAATATTGATATTAAAGTGACAGTACTACCTAAAGCAATTTATAGATTCAATGCAATCCCTATCAAAATTCCAATGACATTCTTCACAGCAACAGAAAAATTTTTAGGATATAAAAATTTTTATATCCTAAAAATTTTAGGATATTTATACATATGTATCTAAAATTTATATGTAACCACAAAAGACCCCAAATAACCAAAGCGATTCTGAGCAAAAACAACAAAGCTGGAAGCATCACACTACCTGAGTTCAAAATTTATTACGAAGCTATAGTAATCAAGACAGCATGGTACTGGCATAAAAACAGACACATGGATCAATGGAACAGAATAGAGAACCCAAATATAAATCCACACATTTACAACCAACTCATCTTTGATGAAGGTACCAAGAACTTACAATGGAAAAAGGATAGTCTTTTCAATAAATTGTGCTAGGAAAATTGGATAACTATGTGCAGAAGAATGAAATTGGACCCCTATCTTTCACCATACACAAAATCAAATCAAAATAGATTAAAGACTTGAATCTAAGATCTGAAATTATGAAACTACTAGAAGAAAACATTAGGGAAATGCTCCAGGGACTTTGGTCTGGGCAAAGATTTCTATTGTAAGACCTCAAAAGCACAGGCAACCAAAGTAAAAAATAGACAAGTGGGATCACATAATGCTAAAAAGCTTCTGTGTAAGAAGGGAAACAATCAACAAAGTAAAGAGACAACCCACAGATTTGGAGAAAATATTTGCAAACTATCCATTTGACAAGGGATTAATAACCAGAATATATAAGGAGCTCAAACTACTCAATAGCAAAAATAACAATTTTAAACTAATTTTAAAATGAGCAAAAATCTGAACAGCATTTCTCAAAAGAAGTCATATGAATGCCCAAAAGGTGTATAAAAAATGCTCAACATCATTAATCACCAGAGAAATGCAAATCTAAACCGCAATGCAAATTGCATTGTGGTTTTGATCTCAAACCTGTTCAAATGGTTTGTATCAGAAAGATGGGCAATGCCTATGTCATTTACCTCACTTCATCTCATGAGGTAGACATTGTATCATCTCACATCATCACAAGAAAGGTGAGCACAGTAAAATAAGATATTTTGAGACACATACAGAGAGAGAGAGGCCACATTCACATTACTTTTATTATAGTATGTTGTTATACTTGTTCTATTCTATTCTATTATATTATATTGTATTGTATTGTATTATTATTGTTAATCTCTTACTGTGTCTAATTTATAAATTAAACTTCATCATAGGTATTTATGTAAAGGAAAATAACAGTATATATAGAGTTTGGTAATATCTACGGTTTCAGTTATCCACAGGGGATCTTGGAATTTATCTCTTGCTGGTGAGGAGGCACTACTGTACAGCAATGAAATTGAAGCCAGAAGCAGTAAACTCTTACTAACTCTCTCTGCACTAATCCATTTTATATAATATTGCTGTAGGAAATCAGAACATGCCACCCCCAAATGTGCTACTTTGGCACAATGATTACATTGAGCTGAAGGCAATTTAGAAATAGCAGATGCAAAAAGGGCTTTCTGCCCTTCCCCCTTCTACCTAAAGCAGGACATAAATTTCCTATGACAAAGGTGCCCTCCCTGTATCTTTCTTATCAGCATAAAAGTCCTATTGACTAATTCAATCTCTGTATTACTTTCAGAAAATTCTCTCCAATCTCAATCCACTAGTGTTGTAATTCAGTTTATAATTCATACTACACACACATTCATGGAAGAATTTTTAAATGTCTGTTCAAATACACAAGGTTTTGAAAATATAAAATTAAACTTTAAATATTCTATGACTTCTAAGTGATGAAATACTATAAAAAGAGAAAAGTCTCTATGTATACAACTTAATAACAATAGGTTCAAAGTGATATTATTAGAAGCCTCTAGACCAGAGTATAATAGATAATACCAGGAAACAACTGGAAGGTAACGTAAAGAAAAAATACTAATAGAAAACATTTTAACTGTAAATGAAGAAAGGACAGAAATGAGAACTCCTGAGAGTAAACAGAAACTGAGTCTGAAACTTACCTTTATTATATATTATTCCTGATGAAAATTCAAATATCTTCAAAAGTAAAATTATAACATATATAAGTGAGGATTCCATCTGATAAAAAATAAGAATTACTTCCATTCAATTATTCTGAATATATTTTTTAGTTTATTTGCTATAAATATCTACAAAGTAGTAAAGAAATCTCTTCAGCTTAAAAATAGTTTGTATTATATGACAAAAGCAGATAACATAACGGTTAAGTAAGCTCTAAATTTACTCCCTAATTGGTATTAAAGATAAATTTTTAAGTAAAATGATTGCAACCTGGGAAAGAGATGTGGCTCAGCTTTTTTTCTTCAACGTAGATAACTGTTGGAGAGCCTCCAGAACTGTGAGAAAATAGATTTCTGTTGTTTAAGCCCACCTAATGTATAGTACTTTGTTATGGAAGCAAAATAAAACAGCATCTATGATAGATTTTGCCTCTGTGGAACTTGAGGGCCAGGGGGAACTGAAGTGAGCATCATGCTGACACTCTGGCTGATGCTTTTGCTGTGAGTTATAAGGTCCTTTGTCTCTGATCTAGGAGTCTTCTTCTGCCTTTTGCCAGAATCCAAGAAGACAGGAACAGATTAACTTGCCAACTGTAAGCACAGTAAAATCTCAGATTTTTGTATATTTCCTAAAAACTGCTGAGTAAATTAAATTTAACTGATGTTTTTCTTCCTTCAAAATTGGTTTGTTTATTTTATACATATAATTGACAATAAATCCTCAAATATTTGTTGGATTTTTAAATTCATCATTCTTATCACATTACCAAGAGAGAATTCGTTTTGTAAAATTTTTTATTCATATTTTAGTCATCTGAGAAAACAACTTATTTTCACAAGGGAAGAGGAAACACAGTACATTAAAACTATATCAGCATGGTGCTATGCTCAATTATATTTTTGATGCAAGAATGACTTTAACTGGATATGTTATCACAGTTAAACTTTGAAAATAGTACCCTTGCCAGAAAAATCTTGTATTACTCTCTTAACCATTCAGATTAAATGATATAAGACCATTATTGGAACCTTTCAGTTTTTCTTGTCCCTCTGACTGAAATATGTTAAGCTCCAGGTCTCTAGCTTAGATGATCTATTATTAAGTTATGCTCAAAGTTGCTCCACTTCGGTTCTCTCAAATAAATATAAGATCTCTAATTTCATTTGATTGGATTTGGTTGTATCTATCTTTGACCAAAGAAAGTAAGAAAAACTTACTTTGAAAGACTTTAAAATGTTTTCATTAAGGAAAAGAAATCTAAGAGTGTTAATTCAAGGGAAAGAGAGCCATGGAGTGATCTTTGCACTTTCTATGGCTTTTCTACTAGTTACATGTTTCCTTATTCTAGTAGTTCAGATTATATTTTTTAAAATTTAGAGATAGAATATACTTTAAGGTTGTTATATGAGACCTTAAGTAACATGTTCCAAGTCTATTACTATTAATAGCTAATGATAGAGTAGGGTTTAAAACCAACATCTCCTGATTCAATAGATCTAGTTGGCATACTAGATTATTGAGTGCCTGAGGAAAAACATAAACATTAAAAGATCATGACAACTTCATACAATGAGGTTTTTAAAAAGGCAATCTGTCAAAGAGAGCTTCATAACTGAGTCTTTTTTTTATTTCAGCAATAACTGAGTTTTGAAGGAAGAGTGGGACTGAAAAAAATAGAGATGAGCTTATTGACAGGTTAGCAAAGATGTCACAAAATAAAAATTTAAAAACTAATAGACATTATGTATATATTAGATTTGACTTATCACCAAAACTGCTAAATTTGTCCATCATTCCTCTCCACATATACATCACAATTAGAAGTCTTATTTTTCTAATATTTCCTTCAAAATTACACCTTTTTTCAATTTGATACTATCTTCTTTCAAAAAGTATCTCATGGTGAGTGAAAAGGCACAGATATTAGCCTAAGATAAGCCTCAGCCATTGAGATGTTTGATCTTTTGCAAGTTACTTAACTTCTTTGAGAACATTTTTTATTTGATAAGATGAGGATAACGGCCACTTCACATTGTGAGAATTAAATGAAAAATACTTAAAACATCTAACAGTTACTTTACACAGAATAACACTTGATAAACATTACCTTTGAATCCATATCTTTATGCACTGCAGCAACTTCTTTATCCTCATCACACTTCCCTACTAACCTGCCCTCCCTTACTAACCCGCTCAGCACCTAAAACTACCCCCGTTATCACTCCCATTTAATTATTATTACAGGTTGTACATAATTGTCAAATACAAGGCACATATCTGGGCATATATGGGCATCAAATAAACATTGAGAATTGCTCCAAAGAAGTCATCTATCTCATCCTTTAGCTGGTTCATTTATAGTTACTCCATGATCATGGACTAGCAATTACATTGTAAATTGATACTCCGGCAGAGTGCTTATTTTAATATTTCTTACTGTAATTACCTCTTAATGGGATGCCTGACTAGTTGTGCTTTTATTTTTCACATTTTCCCCAAGTTTTCTTTCACGTAGACTGAGAAAGAAGACCCAAAACCAGGAGCTGAGTTTTCACAGTTGACTGGTTTGGCAGTCCACTTACCTCTGGTAACAGCCAATCAGCTGCTACCAAGAACAAATGCACGCTTAGAAAATCTAAAGGGCAGGCAGTTGGAATTTCAAACTAACTGCCTCCTTCAGAGCACCAAAGATCACTTTCTTTAAAAATCTGTGAGGGGTGGAGTCTGTCCAAACCTAACATCTTTAGTATAGCATTCACCTAGGAAGGTTCAGACACCCACAAGTAGTTATCTACAAAATACTTCGATCATCACGTGACTATTGAGTACCTGAGGAAAAACACAAATGCTAAAAGGTCATGCCAACTACATACAATGAGGTTTAAAGAGGCGATCTATCAAAGAGAGCTTCATAACTGAGTCTTGAAGGAAGAGTGGGACTTAAAAAATAGAGAAGACATTATTGACAGGTAAACAAGATAAGTAAATGCACAAATCACAAAGATAGGAATGAGCTGTGGATGCATGGCAAGCCGTAAGACTGAATGATATGCCAATTTGTCTTCCATACTCATTGCTGTGTGGTTGTATGTGCCTACTCAGGCTGCCTTGATTGAGTACCTAGTGAGCTGAGACTGAACCTTTCTGACTTACCCACTGCCCTCACTAGTCAAGAATGGTCACAGAGGCTGACAAATAATTTTTGATGATGATGATAATAAAACCTGTTTTACACTCATGTTCTCCTTCACAAGCCCCTTCACATGGTCGCGTAAAACATGCTTTACACTCATGCCATGAAAGATATCTGGCATCTGCTTTTATCTATTCCTGGGAGAACCTGGGCCTGAAATACCTTTCTCTCACCTTTTCCAGTGACCTTGACCTAAAGAAGAAAGTTTGTCCTCAACTTGAAATAATGTGCTGAACACAACAAAATATCTCTCCTGATACTCAGTTCCCAGAAACCTGGGGCTCTCTCTCTTTTTTGGTTTCCTGCTTTCCACTAGAGAAGGTGATAAAAGCTTTTCTAAGGAAGCAAGTGTAGTTTTAAATCACTGTGGCAATATCGTGATGTTGTTCCCCACACTGCATCAAAATTAAAACATCTAACTCGAAGGTACACACTGATAGCTCTAAAAAAATTATGAAGCAGGTGACATTTGCCTTCTTTTCCCCCAGCAATCCTTTGTCTCCTTTTTCTCATTGTTCCCATGTGATGTCCTCCCCCTACCCCCCGTAAGACTAAAAGGATCCACTTTCAGCCAGTTACTGATGAATTACACTCTGATGCCAGTAAGGATCAGTACTTCCGCAGTAGGTGATTTATCTGTAACAGCAGAATGAAAGATGTTCTTCCCCCTGAAAAATAAATCAGGCACTGGGTATCTAGATAGGAGGATTGAGGGCAAGAGAAGGTACTGATTGGAAGAAGGATGACTTTGACTATTTTTGTAATTTCTTCCTGACTATAAAAGTGCTTTTTATGCAAAACAAACAAATATAGAGAAATTAATTACCCACAAATCAACAACCATATATAAGCACTGTTAACATTCTGGTATATTTCTTAAGTCTGTTCCCTCTGCATTTATATACTAAGTGTAGGATCCTGTTGTATATAGATAGCTCCACATCCTTCTTTCAGTCGTCTGACCATTGTCTCATGTAACTGGTGTTTTTTAAAAAAGTTTTCACAGTTACTTATCTAAAATAACTGCACAATTTGCTCAAGTATAAGATATCCTGCTGTTTCCAGAGTTTTCCTATTATGAATGATGTAGCAATGAATAATCCTGAACAACCTTTTTCTATATTTAAAAATGTTTCCTTATGAACATGTTTAAGACTCTTGATACATATTGGCAAATTGCTGTCCAGAAATCTTGTAGTGAAAATTAAATATACTCTATAATAATTTAATATATTAAAAGTATCGAATCCTTTGAAGGCTGTAGTGTTGATGTTTTCAAGCTGTTGTTGCTTTGGATTCTAGGGAAGACACGGCGAAAGGATGGCGTGCGAAAAATGTGAAAAGAAACTTGGTACTGTTATCACTCCAGATACATGGAAAGATGGTGCTAGGAATGCCACAGAAAGTGGTAGAAGAAAGCTAAATGAAAATAAAGCTTTGACTTCAAAAAAAGCCAGATTTGATCCATATGGAAAGAATAAGTTCTCCACTTGCAGAATTTGTAAAAGTTCTGTGCACCAACCAGGTTCTCATTATTGCCAGGGCTGTGCCTACAAAAAGGGTATCTGCGCGATGTGTGGAAAAAAGGTTTTAGATACCAAAAACTACAAGCAAACATCTGTCTAGATGTATTGATGAAGTTTTTTGGCTTTCTATGTAATTTTACTTTCTGCTTTGAATTTTCAAGGCATAACATTGATGTTCAACTTATAAAATAACATGTTTTAAGACAAGTCTAAACCAGGGAAGTTGATTGATATTCATTCTTTTACTCTCAAGAAGTTCTAAACAGCAACAATGTCACCAGTCTTCTGCTTTAAGTGGTTATTTTCTTTATAAGCATTTTATTGAACTAGAATAAGTGGCAAATCTACTGAAAATCATTCCCCAGTTTTGTATGCACTTTTATTTAACATTATTCATATAATTCTTATCCCCCCCACTTTATTTATAAATATTGCAAAAGTAAGAAGATTACAGATATTTTGCTCTGAACTTGGCATCCAGACTTAAAATTCTTCCCTCATTCTGTTACTGGTGGCATAGTGCTTAGAATCAGCTTTCTCTAAATTAATTGCAGTTTCATAGGATATTTAAATGTTTGAGGCCATTATTGCTGAATGGTTCCTTAGTAATTAGCCCAGACACAAATCAAAGACAAGTTGGACTTGTGATTTTAAAGTTGTTCTTGAAGCCAAAGTGCTAGTCCCTTCCATATGTGAACAAGAGCACAAGGTACACCCACCCGTATGTCCAAATGAATACACTGGATTTCAGAAAAACATATACATATTACCTTGAATTCAAATTGTCATGAAAACCAGAAGAATGGTGTTCATCCATGTTGATGTGTAATGAAAATGAATCCCTACTCTTTGAGAAAAGCTCTTTGAAGCAGAAACCAAACTTTTTTTTAGCTGCCTGCTTTGACTGCCAAAAAGAAATAAATAGAACAAAGCAAAAAAATAAAATAAATAAAATAAAATAAAATAAAATAAAAGTATCTATGTTTTGTTTTTGAATACTGGTGTAACTGAACATTTAAAAATGCACTTGTTAGCCATTTTTCCTTCTATGAATTATCTGGACGTATTCTTGATCATTTTCTACTGGAAATTCAGTGTTTTAAATTTAGTTGTGAAATGATAAAATAACCCCTTGCAATATTTATTGTAAACATGTAACCCAATTTGTTGTTTAACTTAATTTTATTTATGAATTTTTCTCATCCTTTTTATGTGAGAAAATTTAAACACTCGAAAAGTTCAAAGAATAAAATAACAAGGATATTTTCATCACCCCAAATTAATATTACTCCATTTTTAGGAACTTTTTAATATGGGATGCTTCAAACATTTGAAAAAGTAAAGAGAATGATACAATTACTCACTTTGTATTCATCACCTAACTTGTCTCATTTCATCTATACTCCTACTACTCACTTTCTTCCTCCAGGATTATTTTGAAGACATCCTAGACATCTTATATATTTTAATATGTATTTTTAAGAGAAAATTACTTCTTTTTTTTTGATTTTTTGAACTCCTGACCTTGAGCGATCCACTCGTGCCCAGCCTAAATTACTTCTTTTTAAATTAAAGACAACCACAATACCATTTCACATTTAAAAATAATGATGATTCCTGGATATCTACCCAGTGACTGTTTATATTTCCCCAGTTACCTCATTCTCAAAATTTTTTTATAGTTGTAGGAATCATGATCCAATAAGGTCCAAACTTTGCCATTGGTTGATATACTCTGAAGTTTTAAAATCTATAAAGTAACTTTCCTTTCACCCACACCCCCTAATCATTTTTTCCTCATGTGTTTTCCTTGCAATTTATTAGTTGAAGAAATATTAATAGTTAGTTGCATTGTGTTTCCCACAGTCTGGATTTTGCTGATGGCCCAGTTTGGATTTTGCTGATTGCATCATTGTGGTATCTTTTTAGAACTTTTTTTTTTCTGTAAATCATTAAGTAGATTTAGAGGCTTGATAAGATTCAGGATTAATTTTTTGTCAAGAACACTTCATAGGTGGTGTTAGGTACTTCCCATCATGAGGCGCATAATGTGGTTGGCTCTCTTTTCATGATGTAGCAGCCATCACTTATTGCCTAGATCTGTTAAATCCATTAGCAGTTGCGATATGGTGATGTATTCATGACTTATCAGCTGGAATACTTTTATAAAGATAACTTTTCCTTCATCAACTGTTTGGTTATCTGGAAGTACAATTCCTAAGGGAGAAAAAAAAGCTTCATTTTTTTCCTTCACTTACCAGTTTTGAAAATAATGAATCAATTCCCTAGTATCTTCATAGAGGCAACCAATAAGGTATGTTTTTCAGTATTATTACAAACTCATAGGTCTCAATTTAAATATATTTAATGTGCTTCTATCGTTACAGTTATTATCCTTATTGATGTTCAAAGTATCCAATTTTTGGCACTGTTCTTTTCAAAGTTGGCTTGACTATTAATGACAGGGTTGTTGTTGTCATTGCTTTTGTATAATCTCCCCCCTTTGAGTGTGACTTGCTTCTAACCAATAAGTAAAGATGATGAGATGTCACTCCTTTGATTAGGTTATATTATATGACAAAGGTGATGGAATGTTGCTATTGTGATTATGTTTCATTACATACGAAAACATAACAGACTAGAAAGATTCTCCTGTTGGCTTTGAAGAAGTAAAAAGCCATGCTGTGAGGCGCAGTGGCTCACGCCCATAATCCTAGCACTCTGGGAGGCCGAGGTGGGCAGATTGCTCGAGGTCAGGAGTTCGAAACCAGCCTGAGCAAGAGCGAGACCCCATCTCTACTATAAACAGAAAGAAATTAATTGGCCAACTAATACATATATAGAAAAAATTAGCCGGGCATGGTGGCGCATGCCTGTAGTCCCAGCTACTTGGGAGGCTGAGGCAGGAGGATTGCTTGAGCC